CACCATGGTTAGTGAACTATGGTTGGACTGTATGACTGTGATTTAGATGCTTTGTATAGATGCATTCATATAGAGTTATTTGATAACATGATATGTTTTGCTCTGATGTGACTTCTGTAATTTGATTTCTGTAACAATCTCTGGCCATTGATTGTATAGTACCCGGACGTCCGCTTTGGGGTCCTCCCTCGGGACTGATGGTGTACTCCTCTGATATGTCTGGTTCCGCTTTGGGGTCCTCCCTCGGGAACACGTGCGTTGATTTCCGCTTGGGGTCCTCCCTTGGGAATGACGGCGCACATCTCTGATATGATATGGATATATGCTCTGTTCTGTTATGATATCTGTTATATGTTGTATTTGTATACTCTGTATCTGAATTTCATGCAGGAGTGAGCCAGGGGTATGGAGAATTCTCTATAAACCTGGAGCTTATTGAGATTTGTAATCTCACCCCTCTTTGGGGACACATTTTCAGGGGCCCAGATTTCCGGTGAGTCCTCACTAGGCAGGGACACGACACGTGGCTGAGGCAGTTGACAGACCGGATTTTGAGTGGCTGTAGGCTACTACCTTTTTGGAGTGTTTGATGTATTCTAGTATTTTCGCATTTGATGGATCATGATGTTGATCCTTTATTTTGTATATGGCCTGTATATGTTTTGTACATGTCTATCAGTTTGATGCATGTACATTTGAGTATTCAGGAACGTTATATGATGATGTAGTATTCAGATAGGTTTATGTTTTGATGGCATGCTGTTAGATTTAGTGGCACGGAGCCATGTTATGCATGCGCCCATGTATGGGTATTTGATTATATTTGGATATCTGGTATTTCTGAATTGATATGTTGTATAAACTGTTTATCAGGAAATGCTTCTGAGTGGGATTGGAAAATCCCCAGTTGTCCGATTTATAGAGGAAACTCTGCCCGATTTTCGTTTACGCCGAGTAAGAATTAAGTTAGAAAAAGAAAAAGTTAGCTCATATTTTTGTAAGTTAAGTCTTCCGCTGTTTCTGTTTGTATCATATGTATGTTAATTGAACCGGCTCGAGACGAGGATGTTACAGCGTCAAAGTTAGAAGAGAAGGAAAATGTAACGTATCCAGGTGAGGGGCAATTTTGGATTTAACAAAAAATAGTCTGTGCAACGTGGATGGATATTTCAAAACGAAGTTGTCCTTCATATCCAGCATGTCACTTAACGTGACACATCAGCACCGTCACTCACACCGTCAGTTTTGTTTTGACAGAAGGACTAACGTGGGTCTTGTTTCACATTGTTGGGGACTATTTTTTGAGTTTATTTTTCTTAGGGACTAATTTGGCCACCGCATTTTTTGTCAGGGACCAATTTGGGTCTTTACTCAAATAAAAATAATCAGTATTTTAAAAGTTAATATATTGAAAAATTAATTTTTATTTTAATAAATTAATATTAAAATAATATATTAATTTTTGAGAATTACATTGGTCAACGATGTTAATACATCAATATCTTATCAGGCCTTATCCCTCCCCCTTAGGCCGGATTAAGTTATACATCGTTTTGATGTATTAAGAGATTCTGCTGTATAAGCTTATACTATACGATGGTCACACCAAACAACTGCAAATGTCATAGCGTATAATATAAGCTTATATTATCATGCCTTATACGTCACACCAAACAGGCCCTTAATACATAATAAATTATACATGACAGTAATGTAACATAATTCATAACTGAAATAAATGTCAGTAATTTAACATTAATAACTGAAATAAATTTCATAAGTAGTGCTAAGGAAAATCTATGGCTGTAGTGCATCCCTTGATGCTGTTAAAGTTTCTTTTTCTTTTTGAAATAAAAGGAAAAACTAAATACGATTACAAAATCTTGGGCTAGCTATGCCCATGCAATCCCTATTTAACAGACTGGAACATTCTGTGGGGGGTTCATATAACACGTGTAATTTCCAATCATTCCAACGGTTGCCATATGAGGCTAACAAGTCTGCCACCAAATTACCTTCCCTGTAGGTATGGCTAACCTTTGTGATCCATGGTCTCTTCAGGTAGGAACTAATGCGTTGAATCAACGGAGCCGCAGGGTGACATGGGTCACATCCCTCGGTTATGAGATTAAGGGCCACTTGTGAATCCCCCTCAATCCACAGTTTTCTGCAACCCAGGTCCCAGGCCGTTTGTAATCCACTGAGAAGACCCCAGACTTCAACCCTTAGAGAGGATCCTTTGCCTAAGTTCCTGCTAAAACCTGCGATCCACCTGCCAGTGTCATCTCTGATGACTCCTCCACAGCTCGATTGAGCTCCTCCCCTTCTACTGGAATCGTCAACGTTGAGTTTCATCCAGTCGTCGGGTGGGAAGGTCCAACAAATGAAATTCTCTTCTTTCTCCATTCTGAAAGTCCCTACTTTTCCCATCTTAGTGTAAGCATCATTCAAATTAGAGATGTAAATTTTCACTCCCCTTATAAGAGCATCTTGGTTCGAGTCTTTTTGGTTGAAAACCAAATCGTTCTGAGCCTTCCATATAAACCAAGCTGTAGTTCCAAACAGCTGACTCCAGTCCCAACAAGAATTCCGGACAGTCCTCATCTTCAGGTTATACTGCATCCAGTGCTTAAGGATTGATTGGTAAAAATTAGGACAGGGGTGGTGTTGTAGTAGACGTTGCCAGATTCTTTTGCTCCACACGCAATTTCTAAGAACATGGATTAGATCCTTGGGTTCCTGGTTGCACCTAGGACAGAGGGTGCAGGTTGTCATGTTCCTTTGTGCTCTTGCCACGTTAGTTACAAGGTGCCCTCCTAACACTTTCCACAGGAACATCTGAATCTGAAATGGGCCCTTCCACTTCCAAGGATTAACAATCAAGCCATCATGAAGTTGGGGATGGCCTTGAAGAAGTTCATAAGCTTACCTTACAGAGAAAACTCCATCTCCAGTCATACCCAAATAACCGAATCGTGACCGTCTTGTGGACTTGGTGGCATGATGTTAGTTATGGCTTCACAAGCTTGTGTTGATGCAAATTGGTTGATCAGATTCCAGTTCCAGTTACCATTATTTAGTACAAACTTGTCCACCGTCCAGTCTTTAATCTCCATGGGAATAACTGCCAAATCATGCAGGCTAACCACTCCATTACTAGTAAGCCATCGGTCTCTCCAGAAACAAGTATTAGACCCGTTCCCAAGTTGAATTCTGGATCCCGCAGTCACCTGAGGCCGCACCTTAACCACTCCTCTCCAAAGGTTCGAGGCTTGTCTCTTTTTGTTTAGAGCTGGGATTGGGCCTTCCTCAACTCCATATTTATTCTTGAGCACTTGAGCCCATAGGCTTTGCTTTTGAGTGAGGATACTAAACCCAATTTTCATCATAAGAGCTTGATTCATATTTCTCATGCTACGGATACCAAGACCACCATTTGTTCTGTGTTGGCACACCCGATTCCATGCTACCAAATGTATCTTTCTTTCTCATTACTGGAGCCCCAAAGAAAATCACGAGACCTTTTTTCAATCTCATCACATGTTCTGGCTGGCAGTAGGCACGACTGCATGATGTAAGTTGGCAATGAGGATAAAACTGACTGGACCAAGGTTGTCCTTCCGACCATAGAGAGAGATCCTCTCTTCCAGTTTGTAAGCTTGGAATTCATAGTGTTAAGGATATGATTGAAATTGCTTGCACTCGAACGCCCATGCAAGAGGGGTATGCCAAGATATTTCCTTAGATTGTTGGTTATAGAAAAACCCATAGTTTGGGCTATCTCCATCGATCTGGAGTGATGAACATTCTTCGAAAAGAACACTTTAGACTTCTCCTTACTCACTCTTTGACCCAAAGCAGTACAAAAACAGTGGAGGATACGCTCGATCAGTCTAGCTTGCTCTAAAGAAGCTTCAGAAAATAACAGGAGGTCATCAGCGAAGAATAAGTGACTGATTGGAGGGCCACGCTTTTTGAGAACCACAGGTTTCCAGGTTTTGTTAATGAGAGCATGGAAAATAAGGTGTGCAAGCTTCTCAATACACAAAACAAACAGATATGGGGACAACGGGTCGCCCTGTCTGATCCCTTGCGTTGGATAGAACTCTCTGGTGGTAGATCCTTCCCATAACACGTTCAGAGAGGAGTTGGAGACACTCTCCATGATGATCTTCACTGCATCGGTTGGAATCCCAACTTCAAGGAGCGTAATGTAAAGGAAGCTACATTGATTGGGAAGGATCAAAGAGGTAAGATGATTTCAAAATCAACCTTGATTGCCCATCCATCCTTTTGGCCTCTTCTTGTTGTTCATGGAGTGGATGATTTCTTGCGCGATAATAATATTATCTGTGCTATACCTCCCTCTAATGAAGCTACATTGATTGGGAAGGATCAAAGAGGTAAGATGAGGTCTGTAAGAACTCGCACCGTTAATTAAGAAAATTAATCAGTTAATTATGAGTTTAATGAGATAATTCCATAATTGACCCTAATAATTATTATAAGGCTCTAATAATTATAGTAAGTGGGTAATAATGCTGAAAGTCGCTTTTCTTACGAAAAGTGCAGATACCGGTTCTGCTAGTCGGTATAAATGCGTACCGAAAAAGTATCCCAGAAAATTATAATAAGTGCATGATAATTACTAGAATAACATGTAGGACTTGTAAAACGAGTTTCAAGTTAAAATAATGAGAACTGGTGCCAGAAATTGGTAATGGCTATGAAAAGTGCGTACCAAAAAGGTGCTCCAAAAAAATAAGAAAAATATGATAATTCTTGTAAAATTGAGTACGTCAAGGGTGTGCATGACAACCTTCCCGGAATGAGTTTTTTTTTTTAATTTCTGTTCCTAGGAATAAAAATGGATGAGAAACTCGTTTGTTAAAATCGGTTTATTTTTTTGTTCCCCAGATGAACCGGTTTAATTTTTGTGCCGGGAAACAAAAAAAAATCAAAAAATTTATGCTTTTCTCATTCCTGGCACAAAAATATAATCAGTTTTCTCTCTCTATCTCTCTTTCATACCCCTCGTACACCAACACCAAACCATCACCGGCCTTCAACATATCACCAGACCACCACCCTCCTTCACCGCGGAATCTTCCCTCTCTCTTTCGCCTTTTTGGTGTGCCCTGACATTTCCAAAGCGAACCTGGCTCAGGATCGGTGTTGTTCGAGAACCCCAGATGGAAACCTCCCCATCCCACTGCAACATAACCAAATATTTTTAATCTTGGATCTACCAATTATTTTAATCTTCTCATCATCTCCGTCTTTCCTTGTTACAGTGAATGTTTTGGTATGTTTTAAGTTTTAAGAAAAATTATTATTAACATTTAAAAATGAAAAAAAGAATAAAAGAAAAAACATAGAAGTTTCAAGAAATCAGAATTCTGAAGGTGTGTTTGTTTTGGTATTTTCCCCCCCAGCAAGCTCGATATTTCCAGGAAGGTTCCATTGGATCGTTATGTTGTTGATGTCCACGGGTACGGTTATGTGGAGCTAGGACGCAAAGAGATGGCTTTTGGCGAAGTTTCATTTGGTGAATTATTGATTTTATTGTGGACACCACAGTTTATTGTTGTGTGCATTATTAATTAATAGCCTCATTAGCTTGTAGAAATAAAGCCAGGGTTCATTCATCAGCGGAAGATGACTAATGTATAGCATATGGGACACACACGACACTAATATTAAGGTAATAATATGATATTAAAAAATAAAATGGTCAAGGGAATGAGAAACAAAAAAATATGAATTGTGAAGATGATTAAAAAATAATAGTTAAAACTATATATTAGCATTTGTCGTAAAAAAAACTATATAATAAAATATTATAAATTTTTATAGAATTTTTTTAAATATAAAATTTGGCATTTCGGTTAAAATCTATTGTCATTTGCTATTTTATACAGTTTATGAAATCTATAAACAAAAGTAAAAAAATAGATTTTTATTGTGTTATCAAACGTAATTCTGATTCTCAGAATAAAAATAAAATATGTTAACAAACGTACTTCTGATTCTCAGAATTGTTCCAAGACACAGAAATAGAAAAGAATCATTTCTTTTCAGAAACAGTGCCAGGAATCAGAATGATTGTCATGCGCAGCCTAAGAATCCTGAGTTTGGGATTAAAATGCTAAGCGTAGCAATTAATGTTATATCTGTGTGTTTTAACTTAAGTGGGCCTTTTTAAGCTAAGTGGCACACAACCCTAGGCCTCATTTTTTGGCTGCTGCGTGAGACTTGAGGGCTGACCACCTTCAGCCATTGCTCTTCCTTCTTGAACTTGATCTCCATGAACCTTTGTGAGCCTAGAACTCATCTTTTACCTTTGATTCCTTCACACTAAACCTTGTAAACACCTAGTAGTTGGTTGTGAGAAGGGTGATGAGCCTTGTTGTTGAGTGTGGCTTCTGGTTTGTGGGGTTTTATGGCTGAGTTTAAGAGTTGGGTTGGTTGAGGCCATTGTCATGGCATTTGGTGCTTCAAAGTGTGATCTTTGAAGAGAAAGGTCCAACCTTGTGTTGTATTTTCGTGCTCTTGCAAAGTCAGAATCTTTGAGCCTTGTTGGAGAGCTCCAAGAGCCTTCTTTTTGCTGAGTTTGAACCTCCATTGGTATACCTTGAACTTTCCTTTGAATTTCCTTATTAATGACTTGTTTTTGGTTATGAAATGAGTTAACTTTAATCATTCAAGCTTAAGGTTGTTAATCTAAGTCTAAAATGTGGTATTGAACTTCTGTTTTGGGTCAAAACTGGACCTTGGGTCATGGGGTGGCAATTTGGCTTCGGATTATGCAGAAAAAATCTGCATAATGCTGTTCTGCCCACGTGGTAATCGAATACTTTTGATTGGTAATTGGTTACCATGTGTGGTAATCGATTACCTTGCTGGTGGTAATCGATTACCATGTGCAGTGATTGATTACCAGCCCTTGGTAATCGATTACCACCTGTGAAAATGACCAGAAATCAGTTTGTTGTGCGTGGGACAGTTCCCATGTGGGCTTGATGACCTAGGAAGTTGGTGTTACTATTGGGAAACAGTGATACCTATAATTAAGGGACTTAGTGCTTGATAATTATGATCTAGAAAAGACGTAATCGAATAAGGAAATGTTGTCATAATGAAACGAACCTTTAAAGTATGGTTATTGATGATATTTCTCATATAAACAGATTGTGGTTGTGCTGTTTGTGGGTCCTGAGCTTGTACGGACTCTTGGCTTGGATAGTTAGCTTGCAAGGTAAGCTTTCGTGTCCTCGGTTTAGCCATGTTGTGGTTCCACAATGTCTCATGGGGGTATGGTTATATGCATGTTGTGTTACATGCTTTGAATATTTGAAATGTTGTTGAGCTTTATGTGTAATGGCTTTTAATATGTATGTGTTGTTCCATCTTGACGGTAAGCCTGAGTATGTGGCGTCATACAAGACGGTGATCCGGGGTGGATGCAAGTGGCGTCTTGCACTATGTGTGGGTATTAGACGTATATAAATCTTGCATTTATCTGGGCAGTAGAATAGAATTGACACACATGACATGATTATTTGCTGCATTGCACTATTTTAGAACTGATGATGATAAACTGCTTTTGAACTTATATTGCACATGTAAGTGAGAGTGGGGTGGAAGATCCTAGAGGACCCTTTGCCTTACTGAGATTTCTTGTTTAGAGATCTCACCCCACGTTTGGGGAATGCTTATTTCAGGTTCAGGTAGTATGGGGACTGATGTCTCTGGTGGCAGGAGGCCAGAGCTTAGTTGATGTTTTGTGCTGTTCATATTATGTTGGCATGGCTGGATTGGATGTTGTTTATGTTTTCCGCCCTTATCGTTATGTTGCTGTTGAGTTGAGACTTATGTTGGGCTTTGTTGCCTTATTTGGGGTGAGCATGGGAGTTGTCCATGTCGCCATGTTATTAGTACTTTTGAGTTGATTTGTATAAACTGCTAGTTGGTCCGGTCTACGTGTTGTAGCTCCGTGACTAGAAACATACTTATGTTATTTTATTTAATGAGGTATTTTAGTTAGTTGTTTTATTGCAATTGCATACATGCGATATTTTATTAATTGATTAATAAGCAAGTTGGTAATGATAATGACTTCATAATTGAAAAGAAAAAGATATTCCGCATTTTTAATTAAGCGCAGCTTAATACGATAGTATGATAACATTACCGGATATATACGGGGTGTTACAAGGTCTAAGGCGGTTGGCCAGCAACTTGGAGACAGCCTTGAAGATGACGTTACACAGACTTATGGGACGAAGTTTCTTGACTGAATCTGGGTCATCCACTTTGGGGATAAGACAAAGTAGGGCTTTATTGAAAGGACGAAGCTGCTTAGGGTCAATAAAGTCAATCTTTATAAGGTTGCAAACGGAAGGGCCAATGGTATTCCACTGAGACTGGAAAAAGATTGCATGCAGCCAGTCGGGCCCTGGGGCTTTAAAGGGGCTCATACTAAAGAACACGTCTTTGATCTCCAATTCTGAAGGGACTGCATGTAGCTGATGAAAGGAGGGGCTGGTGATCTTAGGAAAGCAACCAAAAAAAGGAAAGGGAGCAATGTTAGTACCCTCATTTATGTAGACCTTTTCGAAGAAACCTACTACCATCTCCTTCAGTGCTTGTGGTTCTCCTATCCAATTGTCCTCTTCATCTTTCAAGGCCAAAATCTTATTTCTCCTTCCCCTGGACACAATTGTTGCATGATAAAACTTAGTATTTCTGTCTCCGTTAACCATCCACTCACATCTGGATCGTTGGAACCAGATAAATTCTTCTTGAAGGTAGATTGCATTTAGTTCCCCCCACAGATTTCTTTGAAGGACCTCCAAAGCATTGCTTGCATGGTCTTGCAGTTCCATATCTAAGCCAGCTATGCAAGCATGGAGGCGGTTTTTCTGATTCAGATGATCTTTGAAACAGTTATTGTGCCACCACGTTGCTTGCTTTTGGAAGTTCTCCTGAGCTACACCCCACAACGTATTCTCCGCCCAGCAGTTGCAGATAAGATTGTCAAAGCCGTTGCAAGTAAGCCAAGAAATCAGGAATCAAAACGATTTCCTGTTGGTGTTAAGGGAGGTGGAGGACATATCTGTTTGGGAAGGAGTTCACCCAGTCTTGGTTGGCAAGGGCCCTATCCAACCTTTCACGCAAATTGTTACGTCTCCAGGTGAAATGGGGTCCTTTGAAACCCAAATCAATAAGGGCACACTCGTTTATACATCTGCGAAATCCTGAGATGCTGCCAGGGCAAGCAGTGTTTCCTCCATTTTTCTCATTCTCATTAAGAATCGCGTTAAAATCACCAAGAACGATCCAAGCTCCCTCTACATCAGTAGTGATAGAGGTTAGGTCATCCCAAAGAGTTTTCCTTTCCATGCGTCTAGGACAGCCGTAGACAAAGATTGCAAGTTCGGCTGACCTAGAGTGTAACCATTTAAGGGACACACGAGTAAATTGGCGGTTATGGGCCAAGACTGAGACATCAACCAAGTTAGCATCCCAAAGAACCCATATTCCCCCAGCGAACCCCATAGCCTCGTTCACATGGTGACCAGTTAACCCTATTTGCTTTATTTTCTTAGCAACAAGGGTCCCACTGATGCGCACCTCAGTTAAAGTTAAAACTTTAATATCAAAATTTTTAATCATATCTCTGATAAGAGAGACAAACCCCTTTTTGCTGGCCCCACGACAATTCCATGCGCATGTATTCATAAATAACAAAAATTGGAGAACTATGGGGTATAAGGACCAGGGTCCCTTCATTGGAGGCTGTGGGGCCTGCATGCCCCCTGAAGTATCCTTTCATCAATCTCCTTAGCCAAATGAGGATTCTCTTAGTAGTATCTGCGCATCAGTTCTAGGGCATCCGGTTGATTCTTGGTAGAAGAAATACTTGCTACATTAGTAATATCTGCTGTCCATGCAGTCTGAGGGGCCTCCTTATCTGTCGTGTTAGCCTCCTTATCTGTCGTGTTAGCCACCTTAACTAAAGCCTTTCCCAAGTCAACCTCTACAATGTTTCCCTCCCTACACATTCGTTGACTTCGTTGGTCCCCAGCTTTTTTGATCTGTTCGAGGTTGTCAGATTTCGTAGCAGTCGAAGGTAACTTACCTTTTCTATGATTGGATTTTCCAGGGTTATTCTGCCCTATCTGTAATGCCCCCGTTCTAGTACTAGCATCCATCCTGGGTTCAGTTCCCTTTACTCTGGCAGCCTGTGACCCTGCCGCTTTGCCTGCACCTGGAGCTATACTGTGTACCGTATTCTTTTGGTGCGTTCCCTTGGAGTTGATCCCTGGATTTTGCTGACGTGCCTTCCTCCCACCCGCCATGGTTTCCGGCACGACTTTTGTTCTTCGTTGATAGTTTTTCCTTTTGACCACCATCCAAGCACTGAAAGCGTCTTCCTTAGCTTCCTCCATTTCCCCCATACTGACATCGTTGTTTAAAGGGTTTCCTGGAACCCTCTCCTCAGCCCTTATTTGGCTTGTTTCCCCATTCTCAGTCGTTGAAGTCACTTTCTTCTCCTGCTTGTAATCCAGGCCTCCATTGCATGCTTCCTTTCGGTGCCCATATTTTCCATAGGAGAAACATATGAGGTGCAAACCCTCATATCCAACGTTTAGGACAACTTCCTCATTAAACGTGTAATTCCAGAATCTGAATCTGGATACAAAGCTCTTTCTAAGATCCACCTCCACGCATATCCTAGCAAATCTAGCTTTGGTCGTGCCTTCCTCTCCATTCTCCTCCCGGTTGAAGGAAGCTTTGTCTACTTTAAGTGTTCTTCCAAAGATGTTCCCGATCCTCCATAGATGTTGCATGGTATAGAATTCAGCGGGCAGGCCAGGGATCCTAATCCAGATTGCTAATTTCTTCACTTCCTCATCATAAGGATTAAAAAGGGTCTCCAACGTTGAACAATGATATAATGGTCAGCTACGATCCACGATCCTTCATGGAGGACATGAGAGTAGTCTCTGTCATCACTAAACGTGATCAGTGAATATCCATTATCCATATCTATCGCTTTGTATTCTCCCATCAGGTTCCATAGTCTTTGCAATCTGGCCAGCAGGAAACGTGATGCCATTTTTTTCCCCATCAACTTGATGATAAGTGGACATAACAAAATAAAGGAACATCCATTATCCATTATCCTTCATCTTCATTAGACAGAGTGTGGTCAGCCATCTCATCATCCATGGTTTCATCATTCAGTACACCTGAACCTTTAGGTTTCTTCACGCTTCTTACAGATGCGTCTTCTTCTTCCGACGTAGGACCTCTCTCTAAAGCTCTTCGTGTTTTCTCTCCAGAGGTCTCCAATTGAACCGTCTCGTCTGGGGGCTTACTGTCCTTCTCCTCAGTCGTCTCCATGGCTTTCTTATAAGGGAACATCCCCACGAGTAACCTGGGAAGCCCAGGCGTAGCACTGATGAGAGAGTTACAGAGAGATTGAGGGTAGGTTCAATAGCTTGCTTTTGAAAACTTCAAAAGCCTAAGAAAAACATCAAAAAAGTTCTGTAAAAGTTCAATAAAAATTTGAGCCCAACCACATTGTTGTCTTCTTTAAGCCACAGCTTGATGCATATAATCTACAAATGACAAGGTTGCGTCAGATCCTCAAATTAAGTCTCCAAATTTGTAGTGCCATCGGTCCAATTTCTTTGGCATAATCACGCTCTAATCTTTTTGGCTTTATAATAGTTTCGAGTTCATCAACTAATTCAGAGCTCCTTGCCGCTTTCATATGATAAAACCCTTTACATTCAAAGCTAAAAATAGTACAACCCAATAATCCTACGCTATACACACCACTCCAATGTATGTTATTTAAAGTTTCGATAAAAATCAACTTAAGCACATACCAAAAATATGATAATCTCAACAAGGAACCTGCATCATCCCAGAAAAAAGTTATCAGTTACAAAACCTTCCTCAAGATTCGTTTATCACTTGGACCCACTTCGAAAATATCAAAACCAATTTCAGCACCTAATTTAAATAATAAAATAAAAATCTATAACAGAATTACACCCAGCTTCCAAACTTCAACACTAGTGCCTCGACTTTCTTTAATGCAAGCCTATTCTCACCAAGGTATTTCGCTAGGACTGCTTTTTTTTTTTTTTTTTTTTTTTAATATCTGCTTCCATATGATAACAACATAACAAAATAATAGAAAGAGACAAAGAAAAAAAAATAGAGTATGAGAAGGGATTTATGCTCCTAAGTTACCTTGCTGTAGTTATTTCCTTTTCTCCGCTTCCACCATCCTTGTCCTTAATCTGATTTCTCCTTACAATCTAGTTAACAAGGACATTCTTTATACGAGAAAGTACGTGTCATTTTAAAGAAGGTAAAGTTGTGTTATTTTAAGAGAGAAAAAAAAATAGATAAAGGAAGAGTGAGTTGACAAAAAATAAATAAAGGTGTGAGTCCCACCTCTTTGTGAGAGTAAAATGATATAAGTTGTGTCATTTTAAAAGATAAACATTTTTTCCTTCTTTATATAGCTGATTTGTGTTTATCCTATTATATGTTTCCTCCATCAAATTTTCAACACGTGTAGCTTTCATCATTACTTTTTTAAAAAATATTCCTTATGAGCTATTATGTTTTTTCACAATAATGTGATATCAACTCTTCCTTAATTACTATTCACCATAATCTCATCATCATTCAGATTTGTAATTCGTTAATATATATAGAACTTGAAAGATTATTTACTCATTTTATTATTACATCCATTTGCCATTATAAAAGTTTATTATTTAATCTCTTTTTTTTCCTTCTTAATTATCATTTATTCTAATATTAAATTATTTATTATTTAAATATTAAATACTACATAGTTATTTTATTTATTATTATTATTATTAGTAAAATAAAGCAAATAATGAAAAAAATATTTATATATATATATATATATATATATATATATATATATATATATATATATATTGTCAATGTTTATTTGGGATATTATATTATTTACCCCTTTAGAATAATTTTGTCATCAAAATTTAGAATAATACGTGTTAAAATAATTCTCGGTATTTTTGACGAAACTCTCCTTCTTTTTCCTAAATGAGTTCTTCTGGTGTGAGTCCTTCCCAACAAACTTTAACTAATGGAATAATCTTATTTCTCAATTGTTTGAGACTTCTATCCAGAATCTGTACTAATTTAGTTCTAATATTCAAGTTCTTTTTACCTTAGTGACTCCTGATTAAGGACATGTGAAGGATCAAGAACATATTTCCCGAGTTGAGAGACACGAAAGATATTGTGAAGGTTGGAGAGATTCGGGGGAAGAACAAGTTGATAAGCAATTGATCCAATTTTACGAAGTATTTGAAAAGGACCAATGTATCTAGGATTCAACTTCTTGACTTTTAGTGTTCTACCTACTCATGTGGTAGTGGTTACTTTTAGAAATACACGTTCTGCTTTTTCAAAAGTTAAAGGTTTGTGCCTATTATCATAATAGCTTTTATCTCTACTCTCAGCTGTGACTAGATTATTCCTTATTAGTTGAATGTGTCTTGAAGTCACTTGAACCAGTTCTAGTCTTAAAAATTGTTTTTCTCCTTTCTCTTGAACCTCCTGTCTTGTGAGGACATCATGTTTTCTATCTTCCTGTTGCCATTTGTGAAATGGGCAGTGCTGGTAGGACCTCTTTGACACATTGAGGATCGTAAAAGGAAAAAACTGTCGAATTAGAACATTTCACCCCAAAACAGGAAATGGTATAAGTTGTTTTATGTTTATACTTAGGTGAAGAATTCTTCAATATACAAGATATATACGATATTTGCACGCAAAGTAATTTTTTTCATTTGCACTTATTACGTATCGAGTTATGTGTAGGTACTAGGCATGCACGCAAAACACATTGAAACTCTGGGCAGAACAAAACTTTTTTTTCCCAACTAGCTGGTGCTTTCTTAATCGTGATGCATTTCACCTTATCTTTTCATGTTAAGTTATTTTTAATGAATTAATGTAAAGATGCTTTTGAAATTAACTTGCAGATATGAGAATTGAATATTCTAATTGTATTGCAAATGGTGCTTGAGTACAATATTTATATTGCAAGGAGCTTAAGTGACTTGGGCTTGAAACACAAAAGTGGATGTTAGAATAATAACTGGTATATTTGGTACGTTATAACAAAACAAAAAAACTTAAAGTGCTTGTAGCTACATTTCATATACTTAAGAGTGTTCATGAAATGTGAGATTATGTGCGAGGTAGATTGCGGATTGGATGTCGCAAAAGATAGGAGCAGGTTTAGTGGGATTAAGGCATAAATCCTGAAGAAGAAAGTGAAGCCATTGTAATTCACGAGCTATGCTTGCCAGTGACCACTATTATGCTTTCATAGAAGAACGAGAGATTGTAGTTTGCTTCTTCATACGCCATGAAACAAGAACAGGCCCAATGAAGATACAGAACCCAGTAATGGAATGACGAGTGTCCAAGCAAAATGCTCAGTCTGCCTATGCAAATACAGAAATATG